TGGGACTGCTCCCGGCGGCTATAGGTGCCAGAACCCCCTAGCTCTTCCTCCAGCCCCTCCCCGCCCTCCAGCTTGCACAGGCTGCCAGGGGGCCCACCGGCCTCTTCGACACCACCCTCCTTCTCCTCCTTGAAGAAGGGCTGGGCTGGCCCAATGGCAGCAGGCACCGTGCCACCCGCGGCCCCTGCCCCGTCCTCGACACGCACAGAGTAGGGGTCAGGGCCCTCGCGGGCATAGATCTTGGGCAGACCTGGGGCGTCTGCCTCCTGCTTGATGTCACAGTAGTAGGGTGGTGCGGCCGGGGCGCAGCCAGTGGCCGGCTGGGCCAGGGCCACAGCGCTGGGGCCCGGGGGGCCTAGGGAGCGGGCATCCAGCAGCTCCTGGCAGGACGCGGCGATGTCAGCCATCTGCAGCAATGAGGCGGCGCTGAGCACCTCGTGGACGTTGGCCGCGTTGACCAGCAGCTTGGATGTATAGATGAAGTTGAGGATCTGCTGCAGGCCGCCGGGCGCCAGCGCCTCCAGGGACAGCTCCACGCGCTGCAGCTGCTTGTTCTGGGTGAAGAGGGAGTGGAAGAACTGGCTGTAGGCAGCCAGCACGCCCTTGTGTGCCGGGAAGACGCTGCGCTGGGGCACCAGCACCAGGTCCACGTCGCAGAGGTCAGGCTGGAAGAGGCGCTGCTCATTCAGGCGGCCCATCAAGCAGGCGAAGTGCAATGCCACGTCCTCCACCAGCGAGAACTCGGCCGCCGGTGAGTCTGTCGTCTTCTCAACCAGCAACTGCGGGGCACAGGGCACAGGTCAGGTCAAGGCCAGCAACCCGGGCAGCACCCACCACCGGGGAGGCAGCCTGCCCATCACTCCTGGCTCCACATTAGGGAGAAAGAGCTGAGGCTCAAGCAAGGATTGCGGGGCAGGGCTGGTGGGGGTGGGGGGCGGGACCAGGACTCAAGCCCCGAGCCAGCTGCCCCTTAGAGCTCAGCCTCCAATCATGACTTGGCTCCTGGGTTAGTAGGTTAGCTTTTCTGGGCCCCCGGTTCTTCCCTGCAAAACAGGAAGTCATCCTGGACAGGGAAGGGGAAGAGAAGGAAAGAGGAAGTAACAGGGACTAGGGTGACCAACTGTCCAGGAGTGCCTGGGACCTAGCGGTTTCCTGGGACGTGGGGGTTTTCTGTGCTAAAACCAGGGCCGATCTGGGCAAACTGGGGCGAGGTGGTCACCTCAGACACAAGCATTGCTTCAGCATTTCCTGAGCTCCGTGGATTCTCTCCCTCATACTCACTCACATGTGGAAATAAAACCATGCCTGCCCAAGCCCAGACACCTCAAGAACGATAGTCAGGCTCATTAGCTCACCGCTCAGCCTCTGGCTGCTACTGCACCCTGGGGGTAGCACCTCAGAAACCCCTCACCTCACCAGCGGAAGGCCTCAGGGTCTGGGCCTGAGGCCTTGCAGAGGTGGAAATTCTTGTGAAGAAATCCAGGCCCAGAGCCTGGTCCCACTGTTCTGCTGGAGGAGGCTGGTGGGATCCAGCCAGCCCCTTCTTAACGGGACCAGTCTGCTGCCCATGGCCTCAGGCCTGGCTGCCAGCAGCTCCCCCTCACACAGGGGTTCTGTGGGGGTAGAAGGACAGAGCTGCGTTACCTGTCCACTGTGCTTAGAGACAGGAGCCCCCCAGGGCTTGTCCTAGACCCTCCTCCCTCTAGGCCCCCAGACCCCAGGTCAGGTACGTCCAGGCCCGGAGGCTCTAAGATGGCCCCATCTTGGAAGTCACACTACTTTGAAGCCTCAGAGAGGCCCTCAAAGTCTGAAGGGTCAGATTATCAGGTCCTTGGCCACATCCGGCACCTGTGAATTGTCCAGAATAAGGGCTGGCTTAATCATCCCTGGCTCCGCCACAGCAGCTTCCCCAAAAGGTAGACAGCACACAGGCAGGCTGCCCAGTCCCGTGCATGGGTCCAGTGCACAGATGTTCAGTTAATATCTGCCGACCACCTGCCTGGCCGGACCAACTCCACAGGTTCCAGTTCGGGGCCCTCCTCAGGCCCCGTTTAGCTGGGTCAGAGCCGCCTGTATTTGAGGGTTACCTTGCCCCACTGCCGACAAGCCATCAGCTCCTCTCCCCCAATCACCTCCCTGAAAGCCCTGGGATGAAACCTTGGTTCCGTCTGTTCAGAGCCTGCCCCAACGCCCCAGGACAGTCCTTCCATTGATAGGGCAGCAGTGGGTGGGCCCAGTCTGGGCTCAGGGGTGGTATCTATGTTCACCTATGAGAATCTGCCCCAGGCGTCAGGATGAACCTCAAGGAGCCACAGGGGCAACCTGCTTCCAGATCTGCCCTGAGCCCCACCCTGCATATCCAGGGCAGCATCCACCCCATGCTCTCTCAGATCCCAGTCTGGCCAGACTCTTGACCATGGAGACCATCTTCCTCAAGTTCTCCCACGCCTCCTGCCTCCCAGCCAAGAAGCCAACCATCTGCCCCTCTGTCTCAGGACTGCTAGCCTGTCCAGGCCTGGCCAATCTAACAGGGAGATGGTGCCAAGTCCCTCCCATCTCCCTCCTCTGACTCATCCTGATTCATCTTCTGGGACCAAACCCTACCGCACGGATGGGGAAACCGAGGCTCAGAATGGAAGGATCCCACAAGTGAACAACAGCAGAGCCCCAGGACTTCCAGCTCCTTGCTGAGGCCACCCCTTCCCTGCTGGACTGGACGCCACTCCATGTGGATGGATTTCTTGGCTTGCAATGACTTAAAGAGCAGTAAGAGGCTTCTGGGGAACGTCAGACTCAGGGGACCAGCTGTGCTTCCCTAGACCCCACCACTACCCTCTGCAACCTGTGGCCTCCTCCCCAGAGCTGCTACCACTTGCAGGTCAGTGAGGGGTCAGGATGCAACTTGGGTTGTAAGAGGGCCCCTAAGGGCCACCAGGGGCCAGACAGTGGCAGAAGTGGCTTGGATAAGGGCTTGTTAAAGCCAGGCCTGTTGAGGGGAGCACATCCTAGGCCACAAGGGCCCCAGTACACTCTGCATCCCCCTTCCCAGAATGCCCTCCGGTGCCTACCTGGCATTGGGAAAAAGGGCAGTGCCCGACCTTCCCATGTACAGACCTGGTCCCAGGGCCCTCTGGCCTCAGCAGGAAAGGAGGGGCTAGCCTGGAGGGTATTGGTGCCCCTAAAGACGCTATTCCCACGGCAGTACCCCCCCTCCCAAGCCAGTACCACCCTGCACCCTTGAGGGGCCCGAGAATCTCACAGTCAGGAACCTTGGCTGGACTTAATTGGCAGGGCACACCCAACCAGCCTGAGTCCATAACCCGTCAACTACCTCGGCAGGGCTCGGCCACCCCCTTGCCTGGCACCTCCCATGCAAGGCCCACAAGCTGCGCCTGCCTCCCCAGCCAGATGTGCCAGTTCCCTGAAACTGCAGACATCCCTCCCCAGTGGCTGTGCCAGCTGCAGCCAGGTGCACTCCATCCTCAAGTCCAGACCAGGCCAGCCTATTTAAGACACAAGACCAGGGAAGTGGTCAGGCACTCCTGTTGCCCTCAAACTCTCCCCGCAAGCCAGGCTGGGGATTGGGGGGTGGGTGGGGGGGTGGGGTGGGAAGGAGCCCAGGTGCCAGGGACACCTGCCGAGATTGCTCACCAGGGCCAGAGCCTTCTGCATCTGAGGGATACCCTCTCTCAGCGCCATGAAGCCGCTGGCTCCCTGTCCTGACCTCCATGGAGGCCCCGGGATGAAACCTGGGCTTGCATCGGCACCCCCTCCACACATACCCCAAACGCCCACGACAATCTTTATTGCCGGGTAACCATAGGTGGGGCCCAGACTGAGCAAGGGGGCACAGGTTCATGACTTCCAGGCTCCTCTTTTTGGAGAGGCGGTGTCTGTGTCAGCCTCTTCTGCGTTCATGGCCCCACTCCTTTCCCAGGAAACAGGCCCAGAGAGGGCAGAGGACTGGCCCAAGGTCACACAGTAGTCTGGACCGGAGCTGCGGACGTCCCGCCCCAACACACCCGGCTTGGCCCAGTCGCCCCAAATCCCCAAACAGGGCGGCTCCAGCGCCCACGTGGCCCAAGGCCCAGGCGGGAATCCGACCTCCCCCCTCCCCCCCATCACCCAGTCGAGGGCGGCGGCGTCCCAGGCTCGGAGAAGCGCCCCCCTCCGCCCGCGCCTAGCAAGATTCAGCCTTTCGCGCCTGGGCCCCCACCCCAGGAATTTAACCCCCTCCCCGCCGAGGGCCGCGCCGTAGCGCCGCATTCCCGGCCCGCGGGGACCCGGGAGAAGGGGTCGGGGAGACCGGCGAGGGGGAAGACCCCTCCAGCAACTCCACCCTGAGCTGGCGGGCCGTGCGCTCGGGAGGGCAGAGCGGGCAGGTGGGCGGATAAGCGGGGGGACAGGCAGGGCCTTGCGTACCATGGTGCCGTGGCGCTGGGGGCTCACAGGGCCCCGCGGGATCGCGCTGCCCCCGGCGGCCGGGCCGGGGCCGCTCCATGAAGCGCCGCGCTGGGGGCCGCCCCCGCGCAGGGCCCCGCGACC